AGCGGGTCAATTTGTCTAATTATTGTTGTTGTTCAACTACTTAAACGCAACTGCGCCGTTGCTCTCTTTGCTTTAAGATTCCTACTAAAACCGGTTTCTAGGCTTTGCCGATAAGACGCAATTGACAATAACAAAAATAACATACAACAAATATTAACATATTTTCAACACTTACGCGCCGGCTAGTAAATGTATCAGCGTATCACGATTTTGGGACATAATCGACTTTTGATTTTCCCTTAAAATAATATTAACGAGCGCTTGTAGCTCGACGGCCTGTGGGGCCCCGGAGCCGGGGAAACGGCTGTGCTCCCGGCAATGGAATCTTTTTATATTCGGTCTGCGCTTCTTTGTTTTTGTTTTGCATAAGCGACAATGAAATTTTCGTACTAGAGTTGATTGATGTTGCTGTAGTTGTTTCTCTCGGACGTTCTTATTTTGGCGCTTACAATTGTCGCGGGGGTTATGCAACTACAACAACAACTATTCTCACGGTTTTCTTATCAAACACCAAGATATAATATTTGGATAAATATATGAACAAATAGAGCACTTTTATAACTGAGTGACACTTAAAGGCCCTTTTCTGGCTAAATTATATGTGAAATTCATATAAAAAAATATATATGTGTATACATATATATATATTTTTATTTTTTTGCTTTGATTTTCGGCGAATTCAGCAATTAACTCGTGTACGTCTATTCCGTTGGTTTTACAAAGTAGAACTGAAGAGCTTGGGATGAGTGTTGTTACGATAACATTGTTCACATTGTTCGATATGTACACTGCGATAGTTTGATTTAGTAATCGATACCCACATGATGTTTAATGTGATATGAGTCTTAAATATCTGGTCACACTTTACCTTTTGTGGCGCCAATTTTGTTGAGATTTAAAAATTTCATTTCCATACTTGTAATTTTATGTTAATTAACAGTTCTTGAGTCTATGCTTAGCTGTTGCAGTCTGTTAATTAACATGTTAGTTTAAATAATTCATCAAATAAAAGCGAATGGGAAAATCAATGCTTACGATGGAAATTGTAGATTATAATTACATTTACATTCCAAGCCCAAACACATGTCTTTCTCCCCCTCCCTCTCTCTCACTCTACTTCTCTCTCTCTCTCTCACACACTCTCACTCTCACTCTCACCCCTCACGCCACCCACTAAATAATTATTTGATATATAATATATATATAAATATCAAATGGGTTTTGTTTATATTTTATGCATGGCCCTTGTTTTTTGGCCATATTGGCGTTAAATAAACATGTCCCCAATAGCAAATGAAAATAACTTTAATTGTCAACTGGCAAGTCAAGGTCAACAATTGTGGTATCTGGCTGTGTCCCCAAAGCAGCTGTCGACGCTGTCAATTGCTTTTAAATAATGCGGAAAAATGAACAACAGTGTAAAACTGTACTTTTTATATATGTATATATAATATAATTCCTTGATTTATGTTTATTATGGGCATGCGAAATAGAGTTGAGGCTTTTCGTTCACAATACGTAAAATTCTACGGTTCATTTAATTGAACTACTGAATCAGTTCAGTGAGCGTTGTAATCTGAAATTATTATTCGAAATATGTTATTACTCAACTACCAGTCACAAACTGTTCATATGTTCATCAACTAAATATCGAATCAAATTATTCACAAACAAATGAACTGTGGAATCAAATAAACAGAAACAAAAACAAAGAAAACGAAATTGTTCACGACTGCAAATTTAAGTACTGAACTGATTCATCAATTTGACCTAAAGAAAGAGCTGAGCTAGTGTATTCAGCAAATCGAACTAGAATACTCAAGTACAAGCAGCTGAACTTGTGAACCAACTAAAGGACTTGAGGACTCGAACGAGAAATACCTGCTCTAATTCGAATAGATTAAATAATATAGTCAATTCGATGCATGTCTGCAACTAGGTTGACCCTGACATTAACATAGCCTGCTTTACCCTTTGAGCCGGCTTTGAATGTGCCGTGCCACGTGCCACTCAATGCACGTTTGACCACACAAGCACTGCATTGGAGTCGATTGAAACAATGGGCAGAAATAGGCGTCGCTCCCTGCTCCTAGGTCTCTCTCACTCTTTCGCACTCACTCGTACCACGTTACGTATGAGTAATCCGGCTGCTGCTGCTGGCACTGCTGCCACTGCTGGCAAAGCTAATTAAAGGCCAGCGTTGTTTAACTCCATGGCCGACCTTGGTCGCCATTTTGACTTGCCACTTGCCAGTTTGTCAACAGAGGTCAATTGTGGCCCTTGTGGAATGTCCAAATGTGAATGTGTGTCTCTTGTAAAAATTGGCAAAGCATTTAATAAGCAAATACAGCACCATAAATTTCAGCCCACTTTTTAGCTATACACTCAACGAAAACGAAGTTATTTACAATTTATGGGATGACTCGTGAGTGATCTTCGTAGAATGTCACGATGCATACGAGATTTGCGATATTTGCTAAGAAAAAGAAATACTCGATATCATATTTGCTGATATATTACAATATTATTTTCTTTCAGTGCTAAAAAACTTTAGTTGAAGGACAAAGAGAAGCTCCTAGCGCAAATGCCAAACACCTGATAAAAAAATTAGCTAGAACTAGAGCCCCCAACTGCAGAGCCGTGTTGTTTTATATGTTAAGTTCCTACTTTTTATGGGTAAAGTTTCCTTGGAAATGAGCGCATCGAATAACAATTCGCGTATCTGTTATAACAACCATACCAATACACATATACACACACACAAACAGACATCGATCAACACCACGCATGGTGCGAACTGTCAGCAGAAAAATGTGGTGCTGGCACTGGAAAGCGGAGCGGGAGTGGGAACGGGTGCGGTGTGTGCTACTAGCTGGCGTCATTTTTCCATTTCTTTTATTTAGCGTGCTGTGGGGCTTGCGTGATTCATGTTGCATAGGCCGGCAAGCTAACTTACTTGCCAACTCCAATGCAACACCCAAAACTTTTGGCGCGTCTATATGTCCGTTTTAATTACTGTAACTGTAACTGTAACTGTAACTGGCTGGTTGACTATGGCTTGAAATAGTTTTGAATGTCGCCACTTGACGCCAATAAGAATGTCAATTCACGCACACTCACACAACACTCAGCAGCGACCTTGAAAATAACTCCCCATCCCTGGTTTGTGTGCATGTCCATTTTAAACGGCCAAAAAAATGGCGATTAAAATGATTTTCGGCTGTCTCACAGCTGTGCGGCATAAACAAAACAAATGAGCATGAGCAAAGTGGAGTAAGAATGAAAGAAACAGAGAGAGAGAGAGAAAGAGAGTGAGAGAGACAGCGGGGGAAGCACTTAATCGAGAGCGCAGGCAGCGGAGAATAAAGTGAGTGAAAGGACCATGGGTCTCTACTCTCACTCTCTCTCCCTATTCCACTCGCCGGCGACACGTGCACGTCGCGATGGCGGCGCTACGTGGCGTATACGTATTGCGCTGACGCCGTGGCCATTTTGGCAAATGTGTTGTGGAAACGCATGCAAAGACGAGCGTTGTTATTGTTGCTTTAGCTGCCGCTTGTTGTTGTTGCCAGTGCGGCTGCTGCTACTGCTACTGCTGACTTTTCTGCTTTAGGGTGTACAGTTGCGCTAAGCAGTGCAGCGTGGCCAGCCCAAAAAAAGAAACGGAAAAGGCAAAAACAAAAGCGCAAAACTCCCAAGCCAATGTTATGGAGTCAGAAAGGGGGTTAGAGTTGGCGGGCTGGCAACTCGCACACTTCTGGCATGTTATCGCATGCAGCATTAATGCCGAACCGTGTGCTCGCTCTCATTCCGTCGAGAGAGAGTACGATTGAGCACGAGAGCGCAAACGAGAGAGAGAGAGCAGGTGTGATGCGACAGACAACATGTGAGCGCAAGAACACAAGCACAAATGCAAGCGGCATTTAAATGTGCTTGTAACATGCATAAACAAAAACGCAACTGAACGAACGTTGAATGCGCTTAATGCGCTTATATCTAATGAATATAAATCAAAATCAAATATATACATATATATTATGCGATTTGCAAAGTTTAAATTTGATTAATTAAATCTTTACAAATTATTTATACCTATTATTTTATTATATCCTAGGACAGTTTATATTTCCATCCACATCTTTAATTCGTTATATTTTAAGTCAGAATTTTTCAGCACCCGAAAAGTATGCAATAGCAATTCTTGGAAACAATTTTCCTCGGTAAATAAAAAAATGTAATTTTTAGGGGATGGAAAATGCGTTACAAAGCAAGCGGCTAAGTCGTAAACTCTCAAGCTGTAGGTAGCGCAACACACGAGACGAGGACGAGAACGCAGACGAAAGCCGACAGCCGACAGCCAACAGCCGACAGCAGCAGCAACAACAAAATGCGAATATAAAAACAGCAACAAAGATGTCGGCAACACGACGTTGACGACGTTGCCACGTTGCAGTGCCGATTCGCCACACATACGCGCATACACACACACACACACACATAAATATAGAAACTTGGGCCAACATCTGGCTCTGCTCCTTGGATTCAGAATCAGTTCGTTGTCGTCAGTCAGTCAGATTAGTTCGATTCCTGCGAATTCCAAACGCCTTCCAAAGCGCAGCGCACAAAGTACACAAAGTCCACAACAAATTTGGAACGCACTGCATAGGGCAGCAGCAGCAGCAGCAACAACAGCAGCAGCAGAAGCAGTGAATCAAAAGCGTAGCCCACGGCAGAGGCCACAGAGTCGTAATACAACAATTAAATTAGGCGGATTGAATTTCTCTCGAACTGTGCGTGTGTCTGTGTGTGTGTGCCGCGCGCGACTGTGTGTGTTTGTGTGTCCAAGTGGCGCGTCCTTGGGGCTGGGCCTGGCACTAAACAAATAACTGAAGCCAAAAAGCAGGCGCCGCACAAGGATACTTCCGAAGCCCACACAGCTGCAGCAGCAACCAGAACCAGGCCAGCAACAGCAGCAACAGCAACAGCAGCAGCAACAACAGCAACAGCAACCGAAGCAGCAGCAGCACAGGAGAAAATCAATTTTCGTGAAAATACATAAATCGCAAACCAAAAAACAAGTGAAACAGATAGACGGACAACCAAATACCTTCTAAGCACCAATACACCTAAAAAGTACCGTACCGTGTGTGCAGTGTGCGTGGGACGCAGCAACAGCAACAGCAAAAACAACAATAGCAGCCGCAGCAAGCATAAGAAGGAGTGGAAGGAACAGAGAGCGGAGAGAAGAGAAGCACAGAGCATTACCATCACCAACTACTGCACGTCCTCGGCCGCCATGCTGGACTAGCACACGCTTGTTGTTGTATCTGCCGAAGATACACATAATACAAATACAATAAAAGCAACAATAATAAACGAGAAACAACAGCAAACGGAATAACGGGCTTTCCTGGCTGGTTAGGCCTGTCTGTGGAGGAGTCGCAGCAACAGCAGCAATAACAACAACAACAAGAATACCGTACTTCGAAATTTTGATGCACATTTAAACATAGAGGCACATACATTAATACATTAATAGATATATACATACAAATACAAATAAGCATAGCAGCTCTTGCTCCTGAGCAGCCTGCCGACATCCTCCATTCATAAAGGGCCTAACCAAACGACACGAGACAACGGTTAAATACAATTTACAATCTATAAAGAACTAAATTTTATATAAATAATATCAACTACCAGGCAACTAAATTTTTCAACATAAACAAAAAAAAAACTAGCACTCAACAATTTTAATACCAACCAATTATATTAATAAAGAGCATCTGTGATTCGCAAACAAAAGAAAAATTAAAAAAAAAAATAAAGAAATAACAACTTATTTTCATACTGCACTTTTTTCTAAAACTGCGAAAAATTTCTACAAAAAAAATTTTAATTTAAAAAATTAAAATATTGTTTGCCATCAAATTAATTAATAATTAAGCTCAAATAACAACTAATTAATTCAAGCAGCTGGCTTCAGGCTTGACACAAACGCAAAAGCAATCGCTACAACAACAACAACAGCAACAACAACAGCAACAAGCAGCAACAAATTCATACAAGGTCAACGGATTTAATATTTTTTGTAAGTATTTAAATATACACACGCATATACACAAATGCAAGGGTATATATGTGCATATGCAAGTGCACATGTGCATGTCAATTAAAGCAGAGATTTCTGCTCGCCCATGAACATATTTTTATATCGAGTGTCTCCCAGATATGAAGAAGAGGAAAGCAAATCAAACGTGTGAATAGAATTTAAAATACCCTTTTAGCTGAACTGCCAATAGTTGGGCTTTTGGAAAGTGAAGCAACAGTTGGTTAAGTTAGCTATATTTGCTGCAGAGCCATATAGAAAATATCAGTTGCTCTGTGTACGATTGCAATAACATTGCACTTTATATTAACAAGTAATATTATTTTTTATAAATTAAATTATATTTTTAACTATAATGTGCAATATTAGGGAATGCCATCTATCCCACTTGATAGGGTATACGAAATTAACGCTTCATAGGCACTTGCACGATTGTAATTGGGGCAAAAACCAAATTAATTGGCCGGCAAGCGCGATGCGCATAGCGGGTGCCACAGGATCCAAGGGGGAGAGGGGCCAAAGATGCTTCCACATTTGGGAATGGCAACGATATGGAATTAGCGATTCGCCAGACGGCTGCGGTGTCTGCTACCTGCTGCGGCTGCCGCTGCGAAATGTCAACGGTATTTTTAACGGTTAAGTAAGCAAACGAAAAAACTGTTATGCGAACGGTCTCTGTTCAAGCGACTATCGGGTGTCGCGCTCTCCTTGCTCTCTCCCTTCCACCCTCTCTCTAACTGTCTGCCTGACAACAGATTAGAAACACTTATTATATTGATTTTGTATTTTGAGCTGCACATTTAGTTAGCCGTCTGTATTCGCACACTGTCTCAGACGAATGTGCAAGTGGGCAGAGACCCCAGGGCTGCAGACACACTTGGTAAATGTGTTTAGTTCGGTTCAGGTAATCGATTCCTCAACTCTAGGTATTTGTTCGCGAATCATATTGATGAGCAATAATTCATTTAATTTGTTGTATTAGTAAGAAACTAGTATTTATTAAGAAATGTAGAAAGGAAAATATCATAAATTATCATTTTAGTTCAATCAATGTGATAATCCATGAACCAGGCAAAAGGGGATGTCGAACATAATGGCTCGAGATCTCACTACAAGCTGTTTTCGACTACCCATCTCATTTTCCTATGATCAATCATGATCAAGATTCGTGGTATCTCCAAGCCTAACTCACATCAGCATTGTCTCTTGTGAGCAATGTTTTACGCAGCCCTTAAGAAATCTCAGCGTTGCACCCTTGAGCACACACCCCACACACTTCATCACCTACATCCATAAGTATTATTCAAGAGCACGACTAATACAAATACTAATTTCCACAAATCAGCCACAAGGCATTAGCGTCCGTCATAGTTACCCCCATGTAGGGGCGTCAACGTTTGCTTCGCTCTGTTCGCTTCGACACACACAACAGAAATGGCCGTAATAAATATAGTCATAGTAACCCAGTAAAACAAGTAATGAATGATATTCGCCATTTGAGCCAATCAATCACATCATCAATCAGTCAAATTGTCAAACAACCAGCATTTTTCCCCTTTTTGTCGACTAGTCTGTCAATCAACGAAAATTGGAGCTGGGATAAAAAATGTTGAAGCGAGATAAACTTGGCTTTAATGTAGAAGGTTACCCACTGACTGCATACTATTTATACACTTTTCTATGGCAATAGAGGAGCCCAACTATATTTCTTATGTATAATGTATAATATATGTACTATTATAATATTTACATATACAAACAACCAAGGAAACCCAAGAGTTTCGTTACACATTTCCATGCCACTGCAGTCAACAGTTTGTGGGTGAGGAAATAGCTCGTTACGTATGCGGTTTATAGCAGCTAATATGGTTTGAAAATTGGCTCAATAACGGATGTGCTTACATATTCGATACGTAAAGCCAAAAATCTAAAGGATATGGGCATCAATTATAGTATATATATTTTAGTAGCCAAGATGACAGCATCATCATCTTCATCGTCATGATCACCACCATCATTATCGTCTATGTTATGACTGTCAACGGCATGTTCTTGACTCTTTATTTTGCATATTTGACTTGTACATTTTGCCATAAATACCCTGTAACCACTGAGAGCGAGTAATCAGGGTAATTATATTGGGGTTTCTTTTAACAAGATCCACAAATTGTATATGATTTTATAGTATTAATATTGAGTATGGCAATGCTGATGCTAATGACAATAATACTATATATTATTATGAATAATATAATATTCACAATGATATCGGTGCCGATAATGATGCTGATGATGATGATCATCTAGTCGGCTATTCCCAATTGTAGCACATTGAGTGCTCTCATAATCCATTCCTTTTGGCCTTGATTGAGGCCAAAACGTGAGGCTGTCATAAAGCGAAAAAGTGGGTGTATTTTATGCAGAAAAGGGGACACACAAATAACCCATTGCACTCGAAAAAGCAAACAAATATTTGAGATTATTAATGCTGCAAAATGTGGCAAGCGACTCATATGCGAGGCAGAGAGCTAATGGCAGCTGCAGTTGCCATTATGGTGAATAAAATGTGTCTAGTATATATATTATATATAATATATGTATACAATATCTATTCCAGAGCATAGTAAAAAGGCCTCTGTGAAGGCCTGTGAAGGCCTCTCTGTGATATATGCATGTATATAAATCTACAAGAGGGAAAGCAAAAGTGAAATTTATGCAGCGTAAGAGGATTACAGGCTAATGTTTTATTAAGTGCGGAAAAGACTGCCTAAATATAATTTAAATTTAAATAGTTTCTAATTCCCTAATTGTTAACAGATGGTTGAACCCTTTATGAATATTTAACGATTCAGATGAGCGAATGTAAAAAGCGAGGGCAGTTATACTAAGCCCAGAGCTGAGTGTGGTAGGTGGTTAAAGGAATGCAAGTGGGAAATGGATATAATTGTAGAAATGCAAAACTGCCAATTAGCGGAATATAGGTACCATTAATCACCTATACATTATATAGAGATTATCTTGAGTACGCTCATTTGTCTATCATATTTTCGCTTTGAACTTTCTTCTCATATATCTACTCGTTCTCTTTTTTTACAGAAATGGAAATCATTCCTGAAGGTAGACACTTTCGTTTGGTGCATGAATCAGAGCTTCCAGAAATTTTGGTAACTTTAGAGCGCTATCTGCCGGAATCATTAAAGGTAAGCCGGAATGCTCTATGAGCTCTCTCTGAAGAGACCTACAGACCCATAGACCCACAGACCCACAGACCCATAGACCTATATTCGACCTCCGATTGCCACCCACTTAAAATGCACATAAATATTGAGGCAGCCTTTGTTGCATGCCACTGACACGACTCTATAATATCTGACAGCCACGCCCACTTCTCAGGTAATTTGTAGCAACAATTACCTGTTGTGGGCGTGCACGTGGGCGAGCGTGTGTGAAGCGCCTGCCAGCAGCAACCCACCAACCAGGTAGACCGCACAGTCACACAGAGTCATGCAATCTCGACGACCCATCGACTGATGTTGACCTCTTTTTTTTCCTACTGTTTACGAACGATTCATTTCAATTTTTAATGCGCCCTGCAAACGGCAAGCAGCAAACGGCAAGGAGGAGCTGCTCCTCTCAAGCTCGCTTTGTTTGGCTGTGGATGGGGGCAGGTACAGGGGCTGGCACTGTGCAAGGAGGCGTGTCCTAAAGTAAACTATTTTCGCCTTTCAAAGAAATTTTGGAGTTTCGGCGTCAGCCAAAGTTTCAACTTTTATGCAAAATTCTTCGCTATTTTTTCCAGGCGCGCTTAAAACAACACGTGAATATTTTTATATGCAAATCTTAAGGCTATGCGGTGTGCAAATTACAAAGACCTTGTCTATAAGGTCAGCATTAACTAAACGAAAGCCATTAGCTCTTTAGCCCAATCAATGGAATTATTTATGTATAAAAAAGAAACAAACAAAAAAACTATACATAACCTTCAATTATTATAATATTCTTCTTAGTTAAGACAGTCCAATTCTGACCTTTTTCAAACCCATAATAAATTCATTATATACTTACAAAATTGCTAATTATGGTACTATGCTATCCTCCATTGCTGCTCTTGTTTTATTATTCTCTAATCATATAAGATATTTTCCGAAAGTCCCTTCTAAAATATTCTTATAATATAATCTTTTCATTTTCATTTTCAGTTTCATCAAACCATTAAAACGTACCTGAATGATCGTATTTGGGACTTTAAGTTTTATGTTGCTAAAGATTGGCCCGAAAAGCCGATAATATTACATTTTCCAGGATGCACGCTAACGGTAAATAGTCATAGCCTACGCCAATAGACCATATCGCATCATATAAATCTCGCAATTTGATTGCAGCCGCACAACAATATATACCAAACTTTTGGCATATTTTGTCCATCCGCACAAATCGAGTACGTCGATCTGATGCGCACCGAAGATGTACTTATAGATTGGCGAAAGCCATTGTACCTGAACTTTACGCACATCGCAATTATGAATCGCCTGGATGAGTTCTATTCGAAGATGGGTGTGATGGAGCGACTGAGCGGTGATATCTATGTGTGCAACAAGCTGAACACGGACCTGGAGCTGGAGCCGCTGCCCGACGATGCGGAAATGCGCTTGCTAACATTGGAGAACGTTCAGGGCATACACGATCTATATCCGGCCAATGAAATCGAAAGCGTCAAGCTCTTTGATATACTCGTGCGTGTGCTGCCCGGACTGGGCATCTATCGCAAGGACACCAACGAGCTGGCGGCATGGATGGTACACTCATATTACGGCGCTATGTTTTCTATGCAAACACGTCCAGATTACCGACGCATGGGGTGGGTGTAGCCATTCCCTCAGATCTGCAGATCTATAGTGATCTAATCTGTCTCACCTCTCTTGCAGTTATGGCATTCGCTTGGCCAAGTCATTGACTCAGCTGGTGATCGAGCGCGGCTATACTCCGTTCGTTGTCATACGTCCACAGAACGATGCGTCCAGGAATCTATACACCAAGCTGGGCTATGTCAAGGCCTACGAGACATGCCGTGTGCGTATGACACCCGATTGCTATAAGGACAGCACCGTGGGCACCATCGCGAACACCTCGTTTGCCAAGTTTCCGCCATTACCTCAGGACGGCGATGAGTTGTGCGTTGTGCTACCTGTGCGCAAGCATATACCCGGCGAGAGCCAGGCGGTGGACGACGAGGGTATCGAGGATATGTTGGCTGAAAAATGTGATATCAGCAACGATGAGGCTAGAGAGCGTAAGACAACAACTGACGAGGGCATTGGAGAGGATAAGTAGACAGAAAGAGAGAGACAGACAAAGAGAGATATAGAGAGACAGAGAGAGGGAAATGGAGGACGTTGTAGCTCCAAGAGCTGGCATAAGAGAGAAGGACAGAGTTACATTAGAGAGAGCTACAGATTGATTGGTATTGAATGATATATGTATATGTATGTGCATGTCCATGTCAAGCTGTAAGCAACTAGAGCTACACAACAGCTGCAAACGTCGATTGTACGTATATATACATTCATATAAAAATATAGCAAGTGGCACAAGTGGCATTAATTTTTTAACAATTATATGAAAAACAAACGAAAACTAAAGTGTATATCTATATAGTATATATAAATATATATACATATATATTTATAGATGGTATATGAAGCTTCCTCACACAAAGCGCAGAAAACGAAAAACCGAAATGTTGGTAAATGATTTATTTTATATAATAGAAAGGAGTAACAGGAGAATGAAGTAAAACAGTAATATTTGTAATGAAACACAAACTCTGATGAAACAGATTTTAAAAATGAAACAAAATGTAAATTTTTAATTTTTTTTGCTAAAAATGCTTTTACACAAATGTAATTCAAACAAAAGGCGAACATTATTACAAATCTATATATATATATATAGAAATTCTATATATCAAATTGTTAAAAAACGAAAAAACTATTAAAACTTTCTCTCTGGCTACACCCAACACATGCGACAAGCGACATGAATCAGTTGTAGTAGACGAAAAGGAAATTTAAATATTTTATAATGTGAGCCTACACTTTTTCTAAACTATATTATATATAGATATATTTGAACTGTCTTTAAAACTAATTTCCCAAATAGCTTTGATTTTGAAAGTATGTTTGAATTTAATAGGCTTTTTTCAAATTTATATACGAAGTCTGTTCAAAAAGTAATACGAAACTAGACATTTAGATTTTGTATTTCGTTTTTTTTTTTTTTTTCAAATTAGAATTTCGAAATTTAACAACTTAACTCAAAATGTTTTTTGATAATTGTGTTTACTCATTTCAACTGAAGAGCCGTTAATCTAGTTTGCATTTGCTCTCTCTTTTTGCCTATTAGTCAATATATTTCCCCAACCTAGTTTGACCCATGTAGAACTGACAGGGTTTACTTAAAGGGGCACAAAGTAGATACTCATAAACAATTGAAATCATTAAAAAATTAAAATTCACAATACTTTTTGAGCAGACAAAAAAAAAAAACAAATCTTTAAAAAATTAATATTAAAAAAAAAAACAAATATATATTTTATTATTACGAAATTTTATTAAACTATGCAAAAGAGTACTCCATATATATATATATATATATACTTCTATATATATGTATATATACATTAAAATGAAAAACAATATTTTGTATCCATACTAAACACGCCAAAGATGTCTTCTGCTTTATTTTAAAGTATTTTACTTAATGCCTGGCAAAGAGCACACGAAATTAAGTTTTTGTAATCCCAAATTGTTGAATTGCCAATTGCCTTTTGCCTATTCCAAAACAAAAGTAAATGAAAAAATATATAAAACTCTTTCCATTCTGAACAAACTAAAAAAAAAAAACACAAAATATATACGCAAGAAAATCAAACTAAAAGAAACTAAAAAAAACGTTATATATTACCAACTGCTATAATGTATGTACTCAACTAAAAAATAAAAAGAAAAATTTAAAAAAAGAAAAAAAAACTGAAAGAAGCAAACTTAAATAAAAATATTGAGACAGCAGAAAGTTAACAATTTCTTTTACTGAATAGGTTCACTGTGGAAAAATCCTCTACATTTAGACAGATAAAGATGCAGACCTACAGGACATAAGTCCGCGATAGTGACAGTCTATGAACTCTGTTTATTTTCCATAAATTTATCGGTTCTGCCCCACTGTAAGTAATGCTCACTGATAAGAAATGCGTTTAGATAATGAACAAAATTATCTTATGATGAATTTTACGTGGACAAACAGCAACACGGAGCTTGGTAAACAAAACAAGGCGAGGCCTTGCAGCAGAACTTAAATAAATTAACTAGATTTCTATGAACGGTGTCTATGGTCTAACATGGTATGTATTTCTGTATATTAAGAAAATAATGCCTGTAGGGCAAAAACGCAAACATATATTGTATATGAATAAAAAAGCTAATCATTGCCTTCCGCCTGCTTGCTCAGCTGCGTCTTCAGATGGGACGCCACGTACTGCCAATATTTACGACGTATAACATCATGTTTGCTGGCCATGTCCTCGCACAGCGCATAAACCTTTTGGGCAATGCTGTTGTCTTCCTGCTTCGATTCCAGGGCCTGCTCCTGATAGAGATCGATGAGGAAGGCTAATAGATAGGGCGATCGATTTCCAGCATTGTACAAGCCCTCACTAAACTCCACAACTTCCGGCAGGCTATCGAGCTTTCCACTCTCGCTTTGTCGCAGGACTCCAACCAAAAAGTTCCATGGGCTTTCGTTATTCTTGATGACACGTATGCGATCCATGGCATACTCGGCCTCCCGTTTGATCACCTCTGGAGTGAACCCAAAATGCTTGAGAACGAAGAAACGCTGGTTCCAGGCAGAATTGTTGCGTTGATCCTCGCAAATCAAACGGTCGACAAAGTCCAGCTCGTCGTCATAGAGGCTAAAGGGATAAATGATTAGCATTTGTATATGAATACCATAACGTCGGCGAATTGGGCTTACTTGAATGTACGTATGGCCCACTGACGATGCTGCCAAGCATGATAATTCTTTGCATTGCCATCATTGTCTAAGGCATTCTGTGTCAGCTCCAACTCCCACTTGGGGCAATTCATCATCTCGACAATGACCCGCCTGTGATGCCACACTTGGTAGTTCTTGGCATTCTGTCCAATGACCTCGTCCAGGTAGTCCAACTCATCCTGCAAATTGGCTTTCAGCTCACGCAATATATCTCGTCTATATTGCCACACCGTATAATTGGCAGGATTTTGACGCAGCGCTTCGGTTGTCAGCTCCAGGGCACGTTGCGACTTTTCACCTTTCGCAATAATGGCGCGCATATAATCAAATGTCTCCCGAACTGAAATGTTGAATAAAATGATTTCGAATTGTTCTGCTTATATCCTAATATAGGTGTATACTCACACTTGGGTGAATATGCAATGGAAACAACAGGATTGGGTCCATCGTCCTGTGGCAGCGGCGTCACATCGGACCATTCGGGTCTCTCGCTGTATGGCACCCATTCGGTGTGCAGATATTCCTCATCTGAACTATCTGTCATTTTTGTGCAAATAGAGCGCTACAGCAAGTGCACAATTGGGCGGAACACAATAGAATGGCAGTCGACCAGATAACTTTCGTGAAAATATTCTCACAGGCACTTCGGCTTTACAAAAAATGCAACAGCTGACTCACGTACCGTTCACTGGGCGACGCTTACTTTATGCCATTCACAGCGAATGGAACACTATCGATAAATTTAATTTAAGACCAAAACCAAAAAATACACACAAAAATCAAAACATACTGCTATATTTGATACATTTTAAATGTCTAAAGTTTTAACCTTCTTATTCTATACAATTCGGATTTTTATTACAACAAAAATGACCACTGATATATTTATAATCTAGAAATATCTGCATTTCCAAGTCACCGCTAAAATATACTTACTTCAGCGATTTGGTTTTCGAAATGCATCTTCTGTTTATCATCTCACTTTGGCATTCTCAGTAAATGGCGCACAATCGAAATATTTAATGTGTGGGAAATACCTCCACAGCATAAAATTTATTCCAAAACTGACAAACATACTAAGCATTTTATATTCCTTATATTTATTTTCTTTAAATAACTAACAATTACATGAAGATAAAATAGTCTTCAGAGACAAAGATGGAGTAAATTATATTCCATTTGTATTATTTTGTATAATTACCGTATTGAGAATATGGGTGGTTGTGTAGGGGCGTAGTGAGGGACCATTTATCAGATACAGACGCAGTTTTTGTAATATATGGGTTTACGCCGTAAAACTATAATTTGGATACAGCCAATTGCGTGTTTATAGCTTAAAATCTAGGATTTATGTATTTACATCTAAATTCTTGATCAATCCTCAATATAGGGGCTCGTTTTCGATCTTAACATCACACTCGATCATCGAACTATGAGCGAGAAAAGCGCTTCCATTCATTGAGCCAGTCCCCGTACTATATTTTGTGGTGTCACTGTCATGCTCGTGATTATAGCCACCAGCTGCTGATGCTGGGTTTACTTTTGGTAAGCTGGAGGCACCTAAATGCTCCGTCGACTCCATATCCTGCTGATTCATCTCCATCAGCATTCGACTGACCTCCGTACGAAATTTCATGTTGTTCATACTTGATAACGTTTTCACGTGTGGCAGCAAACTGATTAGGAAATTGTAATCAGGATCATCTTTGGCAGTTGAGTCCGCAGTAGCTAGCACTGGTGTCGACTTTCTGTTTGTTGTATGGCCATTTTGATAAGCTCCATCTGTGGACGAGGATGTCTTTCGACGTTTCGCACGCTTCGCCGTTGGCGCTTTGGGCAGCAAGGGAGATAACAGTCTGGGTGGGGTTTCCACATCTGATCTATTCATGGGGGTGCATGTATTCGGCACATCAATGTTTTGTCTTCTGATCATCGAATGATCGGAGCTAGAATCGTGGATTTGTGAGTCGACTGTATCCCGCTTGAATATGTCACCCATAACATCGAAGTCGAAAGAATCGTCATTATCGACATCAATAACAAAGTCATCCAGCTTATTTTGCTCAAAGTCTGAGAAATCGTTGTCTATGTCAAACGGCACCGGCGAGAAGGCAACCAATTTATCTGGATCGAATATATTACGCAAAAATTCCAAGGCTCGAAAATAAGGCCAATTTGAGTTTGCGATACGCTTGTGCTGTATTTTCCGTATTTCGGTGCGATAGCTATCACGCAATCCTTTGAAGCGCTTCTTGCACACTGCCACTGTACAAATATATCAACAATAAAGATTATCAATAAAGCAGGATAAACATGCAGCTGGATTCATTTTGCTCACCGTCCAGATTCATTTGGCTTGCCACCTCCTGCCATTGCAGGGGGCCAACATCTTTGCGTGCACAGTAGTGCATCGTTGAGTCCCAGAGAGCACGACGCTTTCGCACTTCATCGATCAGCCGAAAGTTATCCAATTTCATTTCAAGAGCTGGAGCCAAGACCAGCGCAAAATACAAGGTTTTGTAGCGTGTAAACAAAATCGCGAATGCGTCAGGGCTACCAAAGCCACAATGTTTCAGCAGCGCGAGCAGCACGCGATACCGCGTTCGTATGATGCCAACAATCGTAAGATGTCTATTTACTTATATCCTATTCATTAGCTATTTTTTTTTTTTTTACAATTGCATTCAAAATTAGAACAACAAAATTCAGAACTGCCGCAAAATAAACCGTCTTGCAGTCGTGAGTCTTCTTTTTAGCCGGCTGCCAGCCCTGGACAAGCAGCTGCCGCGTTCTCAATCATATGATCGACGAACAGCAGAAATGAAACAGAGCTGCAGTGCTGCAAGTATTTGCATTTTACGATGATTAAGGACTCGTATGAATATAAAAATACCCGCCCTTAAATGATCAAATTTTCTAATAAATAGTTTATGTAGCCGATTAATTAATCTCTCTCAAACATCACTTTGGCACTTTATGAAATTTTCAAAAAGAAACCTACTTGCCAGCCCTGGCATGTCAGCGACCGCGCTGTGAATCGAAACAGCTAGAACGAATCAAAGCTGAAACAGTGAAAGAAACGAAACTTGAAGTTCGACTTCATTTGCTTGTCAGTCTGTTCAAATAATTTACAATTTTGTTATAAAAGCAGAACGATGCAGCAAAACGACGAAGTCAAGGACGATGATTTGCCGGCAAATACGCTGGAGCACTTTGCCGAAATGGAGCAAGTCCTCGCGCTCATAGATAATATTAAATCGATACAAGCGAACTCCTTCGAGCGAGAATTCGAGCAATACACAGAGGTGCTCTCGCGCTACCAAGAGCAGCCGCACCTGCTCGATCCCCATCTGGAGCTGCTACTGACACGGCTGCTAAACAAGATTAGACAGTCGAACCAAGAACCTGGGGAGCGTGATGCTGCCTTTAAGTACTTGTACGTGATTTGCAAAGTACGCACATATAAAGTTTTGGTTAAGTTTATGCCTCACGAGTTGAGCGACTTGGAATTTGTGCTGCAGCTGCTCAGCGAGCAGGATCCCAAGAAGTTCAGCAACTGGGAGACTCGGTATGTGCTGCTCCTCTGGATGTCCATACTGGTGCTGAATCCCTTTCACATGTCCCGACTAGATGCGTATGAGGCAGCTGCTCCTCTGCCACTCAACAACTGTAATCATGATGGTCCAGTAGCTCCCGCTGCCGTGCCCAAAATGGAGCGCATCTACGAGCTGTGCAAGCTGTATGTCTCTTCCAACGACACTTGCAGCAATATGGCCGCCTACCTGTCCGCCAAGTACTTTGTGCGCAATGACATCAAGGACTTGTACTTGGAGCGCTTCTTCGACTGGATCATCGAGCAGCACCAAGCGGACACCTTGCAGGTGAAATTTGGTCAACTGGCTGCCATTGCATCCATTCTGAAACATGGCAAGCGAGAGGATCTGCTGCCCTATGCGGACAAGCTGCTCAAGTGGATCCTGGGCTGTCAGTACAAGGATGGCGATGATTTCCTGAAATATAAATACTATATCAAGATTGTGCAGCGACTAGGCTTGGTGCAGCTCAAGCCACGCATCGCCAGCTGGCGCTACAAGAGAGGTAAACTTATTTCTCAATAGCTAAACCCTTCTGCAATCAAAGATTCGTCCTCTTCAGGCACTCGCTCGCTGGCCAGCAATTTGACTGCCCAGCCAAACGCTGCGGGCGATTTCTTGACTGTACAGGCTGAGGCTGAGGATGACGCAGCTGCCGAGGAGATCGTAGTACCCGACGCTATTGAGGAGGTCATAGAGGAGCTTCTCCAAGCGCTGCGCAGTGGCGGCAACGATATACGCTGGAGTGCAGCCAAGGGACTGGGTCGCGTTACCAATCGCCTACCCAAGGAGCTGGCTGATGAGGTGATTGGCTCTGTCATAGACATACTCAATCCTCTGGAGCCGCACGAGGCATGGCATGGCGGCTGCCTTGCATTAGCAGAGTTAGCCAAAAGGGGCCTACTCCTGCCCTATCGCCTGCACGAACTTGTGCCACTGCTGATGCAGGCGCTCTTCTACGACGAGGTGAAGGGCTACATGTCCGTCGGCCAACACATTCGGGATGCTGCCTGCTACATGTGCTGGGCCTTTGCTCGCGCCTACAACCCGGACGATCTCAAGCCATTCGTCCAGCTAATCTCATCCGGTCTGCTCACTGTGGCCGTGTTTGACAGAGAAATCAATTGCCGACGCGCTGCCTCAGCTGCCTTTCAGGAGAGCGTCGGACGCCTGGGCAACTTTCCCTATGGCATTGAGATATCCACAACCACGGACTTTTACTCCGTGGGCATACGACAGAATTCGTATTTGTCCATTAGCGATTTCATTGCTCAATTCGAGGAGTATCGCCAGCCTCTCATAGATCATCTGGTGCAGCGCAAGGTGGGCCACTGGGATCCAGCCATAAGGGAGCTCACAGCCAAGGCGCTGCACAAGCTCACCTATCGGGCACCCGAGTACATGGCGGCCGTTGTCCTGCCTCAACTCTTGGCCAAGACGGAGACGATCGACGTGAACGCAAGGCATGGCTGCGTGCTGGCCATGGGCGAGATAACGCTGGCCCTAAGAGAGCTGGAAAGGGCGCCAGACTCCAAGGGGACTTACCTATCCAACCAGCGCATTGCTGAGCTGAATGATCTAGTTAAGACTTTTGTGGATCGCAACTTCTATCGAGGCATGAGCGGCGAATTGATGAAGCTTAGCACAACAAGCTTCATACGTAACTGCAGCGTGGCCCAGCTGCCCGTTAACCAGGAGTGTCTAGGTCTGTATACATATATATATATATATATTCTGATATATTCATTATAAACATCTGCTCTTCCCTTACAGCCAGCTGGCAGCACGTCATTGAGCTCTGCCTCACCACCAAGACGAACAACATTCGCGACGCTGCTGTCGAGGCCTTTGCAGAGCTCTGCCTCTCCTTCTACTGCTTGGAATCGCGCTCAGCTGAGAATGCGCGCATCATCGAGACGTATTTAAAAGGCGCTGACAACGACCTGGAAGAGCACATACGCATGGGCTACATTGCCGCATTGGGCGTGTTGCCCGCCTTTATATTGCGACAGCATTTGACAGCCGTATTGGATAGTCTAGTAAAGCACGCACTGGTTCCTCCAGGCGCGTGCAATGATCACGAATCGGTGCAGACCTACAGGTGGAGCGAGGCGCGCACTCGCAGCGTTCAGGCGCTGAGAAAAGTGGTCAAGACGGTTGGCTACGATTCGTCCGTGTCCTGCTCCTTTGCGAACCGGATTCACTTTGATAAAGTGATTCATTGTCTGCTGCGTGCGCTGGATGAGTATACCTTGGATAATCGCGGAGATATTGGCGCCTGGGTGCGCGAGGCGGCGATGCAGGCCCTCTACGAACTGGCCACGGAGTGTCCCGCGGATCTCTTATCCCCGCACCAAGTGCATCAAATTGTTGTTGGCTTCATGCAGCAGGCAGTGGAGAAAATCGATCGCACACGCGGCTTGGCTGGCCGCCTCTGTTGCCAGTTGGTCCACACGGTGCCCGCTATTCCTTATATTCATGACCATGAGCGACTGCTCGAGATCTTCCCGAAGGACGAGAAGTCCGTCCTGTGGCTATTTGCTGACCAGACATTCCCCTTATTCTGCGAGCTGCTCGCCTTGCCGGCCTACTCAAAGCGCGTTTTGCTTGGACTTTCAGCCAGCATTGGGCAGCTGACCGAATCTCTGGTGAGCATCAGATAATACATTTGAGCTGAGAGAGTATCTATATCTTTATCTCCATTGCAGATCAAGTACGCTTCTGCTGCACTCTTCCAGTTCCTGCGTGCCCACCAGGAGATGGTGCCGCGGCTCTGCTCGGAGATTGTGCAGAACTTCGAGAGTCATCTCCTGAACGAGCGCGTGACCTATCCTATGCTCAGCTTCTTGGACATTCTTCTCGGCTCGGGCAGCGTTGAAAATGTCTTACACGATGAGAAAAATCCCTTCGCCGAGGATATTTATCGCCTACTCAATCTGGAGGTCAAGGGCTACAAGAAGCTGTACAAGACTGCTACCAGTATTAGCACCTTTTGTCAGCTGCTCCAAGTGCCCCGACTCAGCAAGAGAATCCTTTCTAAAATTTCCGTATTCCTCGGTCTACAGCATGTGCACGTGCGCAAGACGGCAGCAACCAAGCTATACGAAGCTCTGGCGCTGCACGGAGATGTCACCGACATACCGGAAGAGAACATGGATGAGATCTTGAATCTACTTTCGGAAACGGACTGGACGTTGCCCTTGGTGGAGGTGCGACCGTTGCGCAATGAGCTCTGCAATTTGATGGGTATTAAGCCACCGGTGAGTGGCGCAGCTGCTGCTGCCAGCAAGCTGGAAGTTGTGGCTGATAAATAATTAGTTTAGCAAACATACCAATGTACTCGACGTAGCCGTCAATAAATAATTTATTGCCTTGCACAAAAGAATCGAGCTCGACTCGATAAACTGTATTAATCCTTGTGATTTATTCCAATGCATGGGCTGAAGGAGAACGAAACTCCATTCAGATGGAAAGGGTGGCATTGGTAGCAGCAAAAGCTGAAAATGATATACATTGCCTTAACTGTATCACTACAAGCAAACAAAAATCATTCATAGTCCAGCACAAAAGTAACGAATCTTCACAAAAGTTTTTTGAATTGTGAAATGAAACAGAATATACGGCAGCCCTGGTCGTGGCGGTACGTGAGACAAATGCACAGTGTTGTTAAGCGCCAGTACATGGAGACGGCGTGCGTGTGTGCAAATGTTTTATTCCGATCCGAATGTGTGTGATGTAAATTAAAAGTCTTTCTAATTTCGCATTTAAAATACATGTAGCTGTGCTGATACTCGAGTCATATTTTCACTGAGAATTAATTCACATATCGAACCAAAACACGACGTTTTTTATTTACTAAAACAATAATATATACATTCACGTTTATACTATTGTTACACAAGAAAACCCAAATAGATTTAAAATCTTGTTGTTGTTGCCTTTATTGCCCCCCTCGAGACAAACACATAACGATACGAATCGAATCGGTATTATGAGCATTTGGAGTGTGAGATGTTTGTGTCAAAAGTTCTGTCGACAGGCGCACATATTAGCCAGCAGACGAATCATACAACCCGTACATCGACTTCCCCAACTGATAAATGGTAAGTGGAGCACTGGAGCAGTGGCGCAGTGTCGCAGTGTCGCAGGTGGAGCTAGAGTGAGGTTATGCTCGACTGGCAGACCGGCATGCACTATTATTTGATAGAAATCACAATTATTGTATTAAAATGTGTGTCTTCCATTGCAGGCATCAGCCGGCCGGCACACAACAGTTTGTATCAAATGGTAAAAAAACGTACGCTTGAGGCACGCTCTAAATTACAAGCCAATAAGTATCCGAATCAGAATGCCTGCATGAAAGTGGCCCAAAGTGTGGAATTCGTGCCCGATATGGATGACGATGTTGGGGCAATCACAACTGCTTCCAATATGCAGAGCCCGCCCATCAACTTCACTGCCGCATCTGCTGTCATGCAAGAACCACAATTTCGCGTGGTATCATCCATTCCATCATTCTTTCATTCCACTTCATTTGCATCTCCTATATATGCAATCTCTAATACGTGCGGTTTCTCTTCCAGGCCTATGCGGACTCCCGACCGTCATCCACTGCCCAGGAAGTGTTGAAGTCTTCGCAGTGCGAGAAGCCGCCAGCGCTTAGCGTGGACAAATCTGACGACATATGCAAAGATCCTTGCGAGGAATTCCATCGGCTGCGCCGAGAGACAACCATTGCACGTGGAGGCGGCGGCGATGTATGCGGCGGTGATGGTGAAGACGATGATAAAAAGAAGGCGGAAGAGAAGCTGAAACAGCTAAAGCTACGATGCATCCTTGGTGCATTGGCGGCGCTTGTAGCCGGAGGCATCGTATGTGTCCCACATATATAGAAATCTATCATGAATAACAGTTCGCAATCCCTTGCAGATCGCTTGGCTGTGGTCACGACAGAATAAGGACGGTTCGGGCGATGGCGAGAGTCCAGAGGATGCTTTGAAGCGAGCCAAAATCTCCGGCCTTGTCACAAGTAAATGGCAGATTAGCTAATTTTGATCTATGGCACTGATCGACTGAATCCTTTCAGCACCTAGCAGCTCAGATAAACTTCCCGCGCATGTTCCCTATTTGATCGTGGGTGGCGGCACAGCTGCCTTCTCCGCGTTCCGCGCCATCAAATCTAACGACGCCAAGGCCAAGGTTTTGATGATCAGCAATGAGTTCCGCAAACCATATATGCGCCCACCTCTATCCAAGGAGCTTTGGTATACGCCAAATCCGAACGAGGATCCCATTAAGGATTACCGCTTCAAGCAGTGGACGGGCTCGGAACGCAGGTGAGTCACTCTGAGAATGCGCTAAGCATCGCTGTGTGGACTCACATTTAAATATCCCCCAGTTTGTACTTTGAGCCAGAGGAATTCTTTGTGGATCCGGAGAAGTTGGACGAAAGCGTTAACGGCGGCATTGCCGTAGCTCAAGGTTTTGCCGTTAAGAAAGTGGATGCAGAGAATCGTATTGTGACACTAAGTGACGGCTATCAAATCACTTACGATACGTGTTTAATTGCCACCGGCTGCTCGCCCAAAAATCTGCCCATGTTCCGTGACGCCCCGCCCAGTGTGCAGGAGAAGATCATGGTCTATCGCACGCCCGATGACTTTGATCGTCTGCGTCGCTACGCGCTGCAGAAACGCTCGATCACGATTGTCGGCAATGGGTTCGTTGGCAGCGAGCTAGCTTGTTCGCTGGCCCACTACTCCAAAGAGAACAACGGAGGCAAGGTGTACCAGGTGTTCCAGGAGAGCGGCAACATGTCCAAGGTACTGCCCAACTATCTGAGCGAGTGGACAACCCAGAAGATGAAGGCGCAGGGCGTCTGTGTGATACCAGATGCCAGCATCCGCACAGCCACGCGGGACGAGTCCCAGCTGAAGCTGGAACTGAACAATGGCATGTCTCTGCTGACCGACATCGTGGTTGTCTGCGTGGGCTGCTCGCCGAACACGTCAATGGCTGGCGCCTCGAAGCTGGAAGTCGATCGTAGCATGGGTGGATTTGTGGTAAATGCCGAGCTGGAAGCACGTCGCAATTTGTTTGTAGCCGGTGATGCATCCTGTTTCTATGATCCGCTGCTGGGACGCAGGCGTGTCGAGCATCACGATCATTCCGTGGTTTCCGGCCGGCTAGCTGGCGAGAATATGACTGGAGCGAGTGAGCATTGGATATGAATATATTTATATATGAGAATACTTTAATCTATTCTCTTTATCTACAGAGAAACCGTACACCCATCAGAGTATGTTCTGGTCTGACCTCGGCCCAGAGATTGGCTACGAGGGCATCGGCCTGGTGGACTCCTCGCTGCCCACCGTAGGTGTCTTCGCAATACCCTCGAACAACGAGAAGCGTGCGGATAGCCATACAGAGGTGCGTGCGGATGCGAATGCTGACGAACAACTGAAAACAGTAACCGGACCCGAGATGAGCTGCGATCCCAGCGAGGAGCCGAACTATGGCAAGGGCGTCATCTTCTATCTGCAGAACGAAAAAATTGTTGGCATTTTATTGTGGAATCTATTCAATCGGATTGGACTGGCGCGGACGATAATCAATCAGAACAAAAGTTATGATGATCTCAATGAGGTTGCCAAACTATTTGAGATACACGCGTAATACTAGTTAGGGATGTGCTCGAGAGAGACTCTATCGTTAGACCCTAAAGTCAAGCCTAGCCAAGTCAGATGTATATATTTATTTCACGAATGGACCCAGAAGCTATCGTTGTCAACGTAGTCATCGCCTTTGTCGCCGTCGTCGTCGTCATCGGGGCCACCCAACGTTCCATGTCAGCAGCTAAATGCATGTATTTAAAAATCTTCAAAGCATATATAGATATACACATATATATATATTTCTTGATATGTATATATGTATATGTGTGTGTGTGCATTTGTATATGCATGAGCAGCACAGACACAAGGCACAATGCAACAAAAATTTAGTGTTAATTTTATTATTTTGGAATAAATCGTTGATTTTTAGTCAACATCCAATTGAGATGGTGAATTGAGACATCAGAGCTGCTCGATTGGATTCACAGAGGGAAATAAAGTAAAAGAAAAACAGAAAATAAAACCAAATCAAGCTGAATAAATATGTTTACTAGATTATCTCTGGCTATATAGTTTATCATCTAATCAACTTGAATTACTTTTACTTTTCATTTTTCAGTTCTTTTCTTTTTTTATGCTAAGAGAAAGCATTGTTATTATTTAATTTTTAATTGAGCAACTATGTACTTGATTTAATATATATCCTATATATATATTTAATGTATGTTATATTATAATGCAGCTTATAGCACCCATTGCAAAATCTGTTAAATAGCATAAAACAAACACTTCAAAATAATTCATTTAAAAGCCTCCATTTGATGAAAGCTTGCAAATAAAATTTGTGAAACAAGCACCTTAGATATACACATATTTTTGTTATTATTCTAGAAAAAGAATATAGTCTAGATCAAAGGAAAATTTTAGAACATATTCAAAAGAGAATATCAGTATGAAACCTCTTATTATACTTGGCTTCAATCTAAAATAAGATGGGAAAAATTAAGAATCCTAAGTTAGGATAAAAAATTCTGTGAACAAACTCAAATTGTAACTGACAAATGGTGACATTATTTATGGATTTTGAGAATCTGAGAACTGTTACGATTCCCAGTTAAAGTTTATGATCCTACAAATGTCCAAGACCAAATATGGCATTTGCATGGGTAAGGTTTATTATGAAAGATGTCTTACCTGGCTGGTAATAAGAAATTCAAAGTTACGCCAGCTGCCCCGGATTAGTTCACTTATTAGCGGACACGGGTCAATAGGCAGGTAGCCTGGCGCAATCCACCTCACCTGGTGGCCAGGTAAATCCTTGAGCTTGCATAAAAGCGGCGAGCACTGCTAGGTGGGTAGACAGTTCAACTACAAACGTCAACATGAAGAGTCGCATGGCATCCTTGATCAAGAAGACGGGCAAGCCGTACACTGAGTCCGATAAGTTGCCGTACATCAACAACTATGGCGCACTCGAGCTGGAGGCAGCTGCCGCACTGCTAATGCTGCGCTATCAGTACGAGATCAAGGCCGCCAATGTCAAGCAGACAACGCCGCCGCTTTCAACAGCCACAGTAATAGGAGGAGGAGCAGCCTCATTCGAACCCATCGCCGAGGAGTCCACGCCGAAGGAGCCGATGCGCAGTTCCATGACTGCTGCGTCGCAACCGCTGAAGAAGCGCAGCATCCCGCCTCATCTGCTGCGCCGCTCGTTGACTCCAGCCAAGGCGACGCCGCCGCCAACGCCCACGCCCACGCCCAGTTGCAGCAGCAGCAGCAGCAACAACAGCGTGGCGGCAATCGGCGGCAGCACAATAGTAAAAGCCAAACAGAAGGCCACCTCCACTGCGGCATGCAACAAGGCGTTGCTCAAGTCGTGCCGCAATATGATCCGTGAATTCCTTGATAATCAGGAGTTGATCTAAATCAGTAATAGATCTAAAAGACAGACGATCTAAAACATCAGTTACTTAAGACGTAGCACAGTGATCTAAAACAGATTCAGCAGCTGTTTTAAACTTCAAAAGTAATTTACACACAGTGATCTAAAAGAAGTCAGCAACTGATCTAAATACACAATCGGTTTTTGATTTAAAGCACAAAAATCAATTGATGTAAAAGACATTCAGAAGCTGATCTAAACAGAAAGTGCCATAAACATCAACAGAGCAATCAACAGTTGATCTAAAAAGTATTCAAAATCTAACATTATCATCTGCTGAGCTAAAACACAGAAAGCGGCTGATCTAAACTTAAGAAGTAACTATAATTTAGTGATCTGAGAGACAATCTAATTTATAATCAAATCACAGAAAATTGAAACTAATGTAGCCATCAGTAACTGATCTAAAAGTCTCCCAAATTGTATTCATAGAAACATTTGACTTCAGAGTTTTGATTTCATTTATTTATTGCATATATAAATTTGTTTCATTACTTGTTTTTTTTTTTTTTCGTATATAATATGCTCTATATATATATTATATATATATTTTTTATATATATATCATATCGAAAGATAAGGTATTTTTTCAATGGAAGAACAGGTATTGTGGCGACACTAAAGTGCTAATTATTAGCTATTGGCGGTGTTTAAACTTAAGCAATTAGACGAATGAAAAACAAACAAAAATTATATTAATTAAAATTAATTACATATATATGTGTATATATATAGTTGTCTATATATATATGTATGCATGTATATACTTAATGATTAATAATTACAACTTGTAAAATTTGTATATTAATTATAATTATAATTATGTGTGTGTATTTCATAATTAATAAAGTGCCTTTGAAAATGTACAAAAAAATTAATTAGTTTTTGCATTTCTTGTTTTTGTTTTAAGATCAATTTATGAACACCTTTCGCTTTCTTTTTAGCTAAAACTAAATACAAGTACATAAATATGCATGTGTGTGTGGGTGTGTTTGTTTACAAATGGAAGCCAATGTTTTAGAACTAATAGAAATTGCTTTGCCAAAAACAAACAAACTAAAAAAAACTAAACTGTTTCAGTTATTAAATCAATTTTTTTTTTACAATTTTTTCTTCTTTAGTTATCACAATTAATTTGTTTGCATTGAAATAAATGGCTACGAATTTTTTCTCTCAGTGTATATATAAATTTTATAATTAACAAATTTTCTTGTTTTCTTTTATATTTTTTGTTTTTTTTTCTTCTTTATTTTATTTTATTTATTTTTTGTATATTTTCTAACAATTTTGTTTTCCATTTTGGGTGAAACCATTTGTTGAGGCAACATTGTAAAGCTCAAAGGTGACAACACTTATAGACTAAGGTGTGTGTATGTGTGAGTGTGTGTATTTGATTTAAATTTAATAATTGTTTAATTGCTGTTTAGCATATGTAGAAATTGGCACATAACTCTGTAAAACTTTGAAAGGCTGCGCTGCGCCGGTCACATACAAAAGTGAAGAGAAGAAACTACTTAAGCTACATTTCTCATATGGTATATATATAAACAAATTACAATACAGGTGTGTGTGAGTGTGTGTGTATATGTATTGCATGCGTATGTATGAGTGTGTGTGGGTGTGTGACTTATGCAACTATATATATCTATAGCTTATGCCTAGAATATGCTTTTCTTTTTGAATTTCTATTATTTAAGGCTGCAGACTAAACTAAGCTTAAAAGCTAATCAGCACACACACACACACACATATACAAAAGGTGTGTGCGTGTGTGTGTGTATGGTATGTACAACAATTTAATGAGTGTGTGAGTGTGAGTGTGAGTGTGAGTGTGAGAGTGTGCTGTTGGCTGGTCCCCTAAGGCAGCTGCATTCATGTTGCTCAGGTAAAGTTTTGTGTTTGTGGCTGATTGTCATAGAGCAGGTGTGAAGGGTGGGGTGGGTGTGGGTGTGGGGGCATGTGTGTGTGTGTGGAGCCTAATGCATATGCCTAAATGCCGCCTCCTCGCTGCCATTACATTCACTATCCATGGGCACAGCTTGTGGCTCTCGCTCCCGTTCCCTCTCCCGCTCCCGTTCCCTTTCCCGTTCCCTCTCCCGCTCGACTGCATCCATGGGCCGAGGTGAGTTGGCAGCGCTGTGGCTGCCACCTGCAGCCGCCGTCAGCTGCTCGCTTGCCTCCGCCTTGTGCTCCGACTGGCGTATCAGCTTAATGGTGGTCAAGCCATCCGCATTGCGTAGGAGCCTGCAATAGAGTTGTTGCAGTTGGGTAATTAGCAAGGTTAGCAAGGGCAGCGACTGGCATCTGCACTTACGGATAGCAATCCTCATTCAGATTCGCATTCGCATTGCCGTTCGCATTGGCGTTTGCATTCGCATTCGCATTCGCGTTCGCAGTCTTGCTGCTCACACTCAGGTCCGTGGGCTTCAGATCCTCGCCGGCGCTGTCGTTGGCGCTCTCCAGCTTCAGCGGGTGAAATTGGAATTTGTCGCCAGGCGCTGAGGTGGCGGCGCCCGGAGTCAGGCAGGCCACGGATCCAGGTGAGTTGGGCGGCGGCGCTGCGGCGGCAGCGGACAGGAAGTGAAAGGCGTGCATGAAGAGCGGCGACGTCGGCTGCGGTCCATAGCCAGCGGCCGCAGCAGCAGCAGCAACAGCTGCTGCCGTGGGCAGAGCCATGGGCTGGGCATTTCGCGATGCGGGACGCTGGGGCGACTGTTGCTGTTGCTGCTGTTGCAGCTGCAACTGTTGCTGCTGCAGCTGCAGTTGCTGCTGTTGCTGCGATTGCTGCTGCTGCTGCGATTGCTGCTGCTGCTGCTGCTGCGCCTGTAACTGTTGCTGTTGTTGCTGCTGCTGCTGCTGACTCCAACTGCTGGCCGATGCACTGCCCACTTGCTCACCAGGTGTCGCTGACGCCGTCGCCGTCTGCCGCAGCTGCGATATGTTCTTGATGTTCTTCAGCTCCGTGGGATTACGCAGGAACTGGTAGCAATGCCGCTCGCCCTGCACCTTGCGCAGGATGTTGACACGGTAGTAATACCGCAGGGCGCGCGACATCTTGTCATAGTTCATCGATAAATGGTTCTTCTGGATGCCCCACAGCTTGGCCAGGCCGGCGGGATCAACGATCTTGAAGACGCCCGTGTCGCGGCACTTCCAGGCAATCAGATCGCTGTACTTCTGGTTGCGGTCGTTCAGCAGCTGCTGCAGAAAGTCCCACAGGAGTCGTCCGTCTGTCGATGGCAATGGAAAATATCGATTAGTTCTAGTGTTTCGATAAATAGTAATTGGAATCGAAATTAAAAGTGATATAAATTATGATCGATATTGCTGGTACTAACAATTGTTTGCGCTGTTATCGAGTTATCGATTATGTATACTATTCACATAACAACAATTTACATCGATAACTTGTTATCAATTCAAATTTGCAACAATTCGTAGCTTCACTCACTCGTATTTGGCTCCGAGTTCTCCGGAAAGAACTCCCGCTTCGCTTTGTACATATAACTGGGCGTGGTTGGGGCGGATATCGAGCCACCCCCTGCAGCCACAATGGCGCCCGCTGCATTCTCCAGTGTCAACTTCTGTTGTTGTTGCTGCTGCTGCTGCTGTTGTTGCTGTTGCTGTTGCTGCTGTTGTTGTTGCTGCTGTTGCTGTTGCTGCTGGGACCAGGAGCTGACAAAGCTGTTGGTCAGCTGCTGCGTCCAGTTGGGTTTCATATCCTTGTGAATGGGCGTGCCCGGCGGACTGCCTGCGCTGTAGGAGAGCGGCGCCAGAGGCAGAGCTTTGTTATTGCTGTTGGTGTTGCTGCTGTTGTTGTTGCTGTTGCTGTTGTTGCTGTTGCTGCAATTGTTGCTGCTGCTGCTGCTGTTGTTGTTGTTGCTCTGGTTGGCTGACTCAGCGAACTCCTCCTCGGAGTCGGAGTGGTTGCTGCTGGCACTGGACTGGATGCCCTTCATCGGCTGCACACAGCCGTTCAATGTGGACCCATTGCTGGTGGTGCTGCTCGCACTGGAGGAGCCGGCAACGGCTGCTGCTGCCGCCGCCGCTGCTGCGGCCGCTGCGGCGACAGCGCTGCTCATGGCTGCTGCCGAGGCGCCGGCACTCGAGTATCCCGAGGCGGACTCCGGCGGACTACTGGCCTGCGAGTCGACAGAGGGCGGCGGACTGAGGGTCACCGAGTTGGGCGCCATGAAGTGGTGGGCGGCCATGTGAGCGGCCACACTGCTGCTGCTGTGGAAGGGATTGCTGCTGCCGCCGGTGTCGGCTCCGGGCGGTGCGTTCAAGGGTGGCCAGGTGGGTGTCGGCGGGTGGCTGTGCGGAGACAGCGGGTAGCGGCCGGTGGGCGTGACGGGGCTGTTGGGCAGATGCCATTGCATCATGTGCGACTCGATGATCAGCATCTGGAGCACATTGTGCAGGACGTCGCCGGCGCCAGGGCAGCGATGGCCAAAGTCTGTGCGGGTCAGCAGGCACAGGGCTTTGCCATTCATTTGGAAGAGATCAAAGTCGAGTTTGGGCAAATCGAATTCGCGCACGCAGAAGCGCAGAAACACGAGCACATCGTCGCGACTCCAGAGGCGCGGATCTGATGGCAAGGATGGGGGCAATTGTGTTTTGAGCTCAGCCAACTGACTGGACGGTGGTGGGGGGCAGCGCCACATGACATCGCCCCAGATGCCGGGATTAAGCGGATTCAGTGATAGCTGTACTGGAAGCATTTTCATTTTGGACATGCAAACGCCACTAGATTAAAACAACCTGTAAAGAGAGCAAACAAATTTGAATATTAGTAAAGGCTAGAATATGAACCGTATGTGCAAAATCACCCTGTATGCGTCGAAAGAGATAGCACTTAATCGCATTCCAAGCAAATCTGATTTCTTCATAAACAAATCTGCTCAGCAGGCAGCGCAACGGGCGCGAACCAGCTGAGCGAGCGAGCGAGAGCGAGACAGAACGCTAAGCATGAGTCAGAATCAATACGCAAGCACTCATAGAAACACACACATGCACGCATATGAGCGCTCAATTACTGTATTATCGCCATTTGCTCTTATTCTTTTTCTCACATTCAAAAACACCCCCGCAGAAAGCGATCAAGTGAAAGCTTTGCTACAAAACTACTGCCGTTGACATCACTCTCTGCCCTACGTTCTATGACCTAAATTCTCTTCTGGGTTTTTTCCCATTTAACAGGACTACTGTCTGTTTACACTTAAGAGAGCTTTCACTAATGTCTAAGCATATGTAGATACTATATCTGTGTATATATCTGCGTATATAAAATTAAGCTTTTTAATTGAAAATTGCTCAATATGGTAATTGCCATAAATATGTGCGTTGACGCTACTATTCCGGATGTGTACAAAGCAAACACCGACAAGCCAATACATACATGTGTGCATATACAAATCGACAACACATGGAGCCCAACACACACACGCTCACACACTCAGGCATATCTTTAGCGTGATTGCTGTAAGATTTCAACATAAACGAATGTATTGATGCCGTAGCCGTTAAGGTTGGGGTGTCTGCGACGGAAGGTGGGAGGTGCTGCGTGCTTTAAGAAACTTGAAAGCCGTACCCATTTAGGCTTGCCGGGCATATCACTGCAGCAGCAGCAAAAGCAACAGCAACAGCAGACGACGGCAGCAGCAACAGCAAACGGAAGTGCACATTCCATACACAAAACTCGTTTCAAAAGTAGCAGCGGGAGCAGCAGAAGCAGCGGGTGAAAGATGTTGGCGCAACGACGACGACTAATAAATCCGCCAGTGGGTAAAGAGAGCAACAAGCCAATTTTCAAGAAGCAGCTACACTGGCGCACCCTGTATTTCACTCGCGCGTTCAGGCATTGCCCAGTTGCACATACACACATGCATATGAGTACACATACACACACGCAAGCGCTCGTACATTAAAATTTATCTCATCGCGCTCTCAGCAGCAGAACAGAAACTTCCTCATTCTCCGGGAAGCATTTCAACAAGTGAGCAAAGAAATTTACTTAAGCTATAGCTCAAAAGCGTGCAAGCGAGATGCCAATAGGCCCACTAAGAGAGCGCTCGTGAGCAATATATTTTGTTTGCATGCTATTGTTGTTGTTTTTGTTATTATTTTTTGTGTTGAGCAAGAAACAGGAGAAGACAGGCATAACAGATGAGAAAGATGACGATGATGATGATGATGTGATGACGATGATCACTGCCCGCACTGTGGGATATACACATGTTTATTTGTATGTCCATATCTATGCATGTATGTATGTATATATAAATGTATATATTTTATTGTGTACATGTCTTTTACTTAGAGGGGGTCTATTTGTTTTGTTTAAGAGGTGCTGCTGCCCTCTGCTGATTGTGTACACACACACACACACACGTTCGCATGTACGCATATCTGTGATTGTATTGTCTGTATGTATGAGCGATCCTACGTGTTATTTTGGTTGCCGCAAACAACATATGGTTTAATTTGACTAAAATAAATTCATATACATATTGTACTACACACATGTTCGCCCGCTCCGAGCAACAGCAACAATAACAACAACAACAATTACAAATAAACATTCAACCAGTCGGTGGCACGTAGTAAAATGACAAATGAATGTTCATCATACCAAAAGGCAGCAGCAACAACAACAACAAAAGCAACACCAACAAAGTGAAAGAAGGCAAGAGCAGAACACAAAAAGCGGCGACGCACGCAATGCGAGAAGAATAAGAATATAAATACTCAAGCATGTATGTATGTATGTATGTATATATGCATGTGTGTATTCTAAATCTCAGCCAGCGAAGATGACAGCGAACGACGGCAACGGCGAAGGAGGCGCGGCTTGGATGAACGAACACAGCAGGCACAAAGGGTAAAGAGAAAGGAGAGGGAGAGGTGGAGAACGAAGGGGCAGCAGGCACAGGTAGTTAGGTATGCGGATGATGGCGAACCGGTTTCAACGGAAATTACAAACGAAAAATTATAAAACGATCAGTTTAGAAAAATGCCAGCAGCAGCAGAGATCTCAATACAACAAAAACAACAACAAGAAAGGCGACAGCAAATAAGAAATGTAAAAGCTAAAGCTCGCAGAGGAAACTGCAGCGTGAAGAGAGACCCAGAGAGAGAGAGAGAGAGAGTGGCCACAGGAATGTTTGTATACATGTCTTTGCGTGTGTGTGAAAAGAATTTTTGCTTATGCAGAGATTTCCGCTTTAAGCGAAATTGCCTGACTGTTGATTGGACGGGGCGAGGTGGGTGGGGGGCACGCCACGATACGACTGGGCGTGTGGGATCGGAAATGCCAGACAAGGAAAATGGGGTCGTTTGAAAAAATGGTCAAGGAAATTGAACAGCCAAGCAGGCGAGCATCCTGTATACGTGTCGATAATTTATCGATTATTTATGCGTGTTGTCGATTGCAAAATAATTACCTTGTTAATTTTATTGGATTTGTATATATAAAACCTTATCGATAATTGATTGATTTAAAGATTCTTTTAGCTTTGTAAATAAAGGATAGGAAAATAGACAAAACATTTGCGTCTTAGCAAAATCATAAGAATAAGTCTATACAATATGGAATATAAGAACTTTATCCATATGAAATAATGAAATTCATTTTAATTTTATATTTTGGAACAGTTTATAAAATTCAACAATTGTTTGATCTTTTGAAGTTCTTTATACTACGATCACAGTTTTCAAATTTGATATATTAAAGCAAGTCTTTTTTTCCATGTCTCACCCAAAATTCCTATATAACTGTTAATTGGATTGTAAACTTCTCCGTCTCTGTCAAGTGCGTGCTTAGCAAGCTCTTTGTTAGTCGTCAGCGTGTGCTCAGATTAGAAGAGGAAATACGCTGCAGACATATGATCTATCAAAGGAGCTATTCCAATAGCTCCTTCTCTTCTCTCTTCCTCTCATTCGCTCTCGTGCAGTGATTCACGCTTAAAGTGCAATCGTGCTGCCCCTGCGGCTGTTGAGAGTTAAGTTAATGAGTAATTTCCGCAGGCACATCCTACCCCCCGCTGCCGACACCACTGGCTGCTGGCTGTGTGCATCAAGTGGCTGTGGCTCTGGATGCGGCTCTGGCTGATGCTGTTGCTGCTGCTGCTGCGCAGTAGAACGAACGATGAGAAAAATAAGAAAAATCTGATAACATAAAAGGCAGAAGCGACAGCCGCCACGGCGCATTAAGATTAACGGCCTGTTCGAATGCACAGCTGCAAGGCAAGCAGAGAGAGCGAGAGAGTGAGAGAGAGATAGTATTGTTGCTGCTGCTGCGCTGTTAATGATGGCCGAACGACCCCTCAGCGAGCAGCGGTAGCAGCAGCAACAGCATCAGCAGGTAGTCGAAGTGCTCAACAGTTGAGTGGAACGGGAAGGAGAGCGCTGGAAGAATGGGCACAAGGAAATGCGTACCTGCGGATGCACTTACATCTTATAGACGTTGCTGCTGCTGCTTCTTCTTGGAAAACCTCCTCCGGCTACGGGGCTTCGGAGCGAAGACTACAAAGGCAATGCGCATGTGTTGCCAGTTGACATTTGATCTCTTTTATAAGGTCTTCTTCTCCTCTTTTCTTCTTTATCAGCTAAACAGTACTCAAGTGCTCTTAGCAGAAAACAACCCTTAAAGTGGATGTACATTCATATATACTTACTATATACATATATAGGACCTGAAGGCTGTGCATTGTCTGTCGTCTACGTGAAATTCAATGAGCTTAGGGTAACTCATAAAAAGAGGAAGAAAATCAAAGTAAACCCAGGCAAGACGGTTCGAACTTCGAAGGAACCTTCCCTGCGGTTGTGATTCAATGATGATAATATTCAATTTGAAATTCCTAAAATTTTAAGAAGCCTTTGAGTGTAATGAACAATTCCAGCTCTATTTACAAATATACATAGGTATAGGTGCATAGGTTTATGACACAAGTTGATCATATTCTATGTAATTATGATATGGGAATACGCATACAGTAATCGGCAAATTGAAACAAAGGAAACTATCGAATGAAATGGGGTAAAACAAGTTTTCGCTTGATAGAAATTTATAAAGATGAAAGGAATTATAATCGATATTGATATACAATGGACAAATAAAAGTAGTCATCGATGAATTTAAATGCTGCGAATGAAATCAACTTGATATTGAAATAGGTGAAAATTAACTAGTCTAGTCGATCATACCCTACGTCAATCACTATCAATTAACACTTGAGTGCTAAACAGCAAAGTGAATCGAGCTGATCATCGTGCGTTTTGCACGTGTCGCTATTATATTATGACTATATGAATATACATTGTATATGTATGTATATAGCAAAATTTGTATAAAATTTACATTTGCTTAGATCGTTTGCCATATTCCGGCATATCGAATACTCAATTAATAAGCACAAAAAATAAAATACAAAATTCAAAACCAAGTCAACGACCTGCTTTGCTTTATAACTGCTCAAAGTAGAGAGAAGTAAAAAAAAAAAAAAAAAAAAAAAAACAACGGCGCATATATTATAAAAGAAGCAGAAAACAGACACGTAAAGTAAAGCTCAAAGCCTAACTCCCCCCGTCAGAAAGCGCGACAATTCAGACATATATATATATATACAGATATTGATATATATACATACGAATAGACGTTGAGCTGATCGTGCATAACAAGCGCGTGAGCGTATACTATGGCTAAGCATATATAAACCCCATATATACTTTGTATATATGTATATATAGAGAGAAAAAGACGC